CACTTCAAATTTCTCTTCATATTAAAGTGGCAATGGATCTGTGTACTCGATTCATTTTTTGCTATCTTCAACCTCCCTACAACAAGGATTACAGTCTCATCAATACAGTGTTCAGTTTTAAACCAAGTCTTGGGAGCCAATTAAACGTATCCAGGTTTGCTTAATGTTCGGGAAGATCTCGCTATTTTAATGAGATGTTCGAGAAGGCCTCGCTACATGTAATGTTGTAGGGTTCAAAATGATCATCTCTATATTAAGTGTCTAAGAAATTTAATGTGTCGAGAGAAGGAATTATTGTTGGTGCCAAGAGCAATTGCACAAACAAGAGAAGAGGAAAGGTTCATCGGACGTTAAATAACTGTAGTATCACTAGTTGTAATATCGGGAAATATCATTAGTTGTAAAATCACTAGTTTTAACTAGAGAAGACGAAAAACTGCCGATTGCCAATTCATTGTTGTAATGAATTGTAACATACACGTAACTCGTTGTAACTCAATCTGTACATCTCGTTATGACTATTTGTTGCATTTTAAATATTAGTTACCCCACTTTCAAATTAGTTGTCCCAATGAAATATCATGTTCTTTTGCGAAACTGTTACTTGGCATGTGGTCGTGTGGAACCAATCCGAGACGCCAATTGTAACTTCATTTCCGTACTAAAGGAGTAATACCTATTGAAGTGCCTGTAATACTATCTGTAATACTCATCATTAACACAATTATAAGCCACATATCTAAGTTTTAACATAGACGAACATGACAAGGTGCCTGTACAAGCACATCAATAAGTTGTAACAGTTTATTAACTTCTTGTAACGTACATATGCAGCATTCCCTGGTAGGGACGACATGGCTGCATTTAGTAAATGTTCGTCCACGAACACCACAAATCTGGTTCTAGACACCTTCATGTCTGAAAAATCTGGTGCTAGACACTGCAAATCTGGTGCTAGACACCTAATGTTTGAAGTAATTTTAGAATTACAATCAACAAGCATAATTCATTGAGAGATTGTACATTAAAACAAGCTTACAATACGGAACCGATCGAAATTGAGCAATATCTTTTCTGGACAAGTACGAACATCAGTAAATGAGGTGAACTTGGGGACGGAGAGCAACAAACTCAATTGTTTGGAATAACCAATTGTTTTGTATTCATAAAAATTGTAGGTACACATCATTCATCAACCTGCAACTGAGGGGAGTTGATGTCAATAGTTAGTCGCAATCCCAAGGTGCTATTTCTTTCCTGAAATACGTAACGATGATAAATCAGTCAATACAGTTAATGATACATACGGTTAATGATATACGCTGTCGAAATATCCAATTAACAAGACACCATATATATATGGGGTAATGATAAAAGCTTGTCACCTGGGGTGATGGTGAAAATACATTATATGCATCCTTATTACAGTGTGTTGAAATTGTTGCACGCTCCGCCTACGTTGTACAATATAATTATTCAATTATCAACAACTCATTAGCAATGCCTATATTGCTCAGTTCCAAAGCTAAATTGGACTAGACACTATAAAAAATGATATTTTAAACCATTAAAATATCTCTGACGGAGTTATGTTTGAAAAATATAAAAAATTTGGGGTGCATCCATTCTGTAGGGACACTGCCATGAGGCCCCTGATTAGCCAATCGGTAGACTTTCGGATAATACAAAATAATATGTCATTAAAGCATTATATGTTAACTACAAAATATGCATGCTTCGATAGTGTTCGGGTGCCCACCATTACAATTAAAGAAAAAGTAACTCTACGATACGAAAAAAGGACCTTATTTTATCTACTTAATGTATGCATACCGTTAGACTTTCCTCGATTTCGGGAGCAACAGTGTTTGGAGGGCCATTCACTGACTAACTCATTGAATGCATCTACGAATTTTGTATGGGTCAAATAATTATATAAAACAGACAAAAAGAGTATATCATGAGGGATGTCAGCCGTAACAAAATCATCACACAATGTAACATCATCATAACTAATTGTGCTGTAAGAAACATCCAAATAAAAGTTAAAGCCATGTTTATTTTATACTAACCGAAACTGAGTCAATTGATGAACGGCATCCTATAAACATGTGTTCATCAAATGAAATCGATGTCGGCTCCGATTCTGAGACCTGTATTATTGACACGACAATAATGTTATTTTATAGTGAATGGTACTTATGGATTGTAGATAGGGAATTACGATAACATTGTTGTAGTATAGATGTTTACCATAATAGTTATTGGATCCTTACCGTAGTCTGTGTAGTTCTTGACAATCTAGATTTTCTTTTTAATCTGTCAAATTTATCGATCCAACTTCGCATCACTTTACTTCTCTTCCCACTGGTACATTTTTTAAATCCTCTTGCGATTACTGCCTCTCCCATTTCATTCACAAATTGAATCTTATCACGTTCCTCCACATTCAGATCATTTTCGTCGGCGCTCGTGTCCTCTTTGGCATCACATCACCTTCGTACTTGCACTTCACACTTTCCTTGTAGCAACTATATCTCCTAGACGTGGTCACGCCATTTTTATCTTTATTCAGATAGTTTTTGCGTATACTAAAATCCATTTTAAAGGCATATTTGTTGTAAAACTTGTACGTATCCTCTTCACTGTTAAACTCCATTCCCAACTCAGGGATCCTATCTTCTGTCAATTTGCTGCAATTCATTATTTCTGCTCCTACCAATTATGCATCAAACACCATAATTTGTAACACTTCATGAATTGTATGTACATAAACGACAAGATAAATGTATATTACCATTCATAATGTATTATGAATCACACATTACTCGTATACCAAATCCTATTATTACACTTATCAATACGATTAATGAATCACATCACCTTACTTTTATTCTAATACAACGGCATTATTTATGTACTAATAGAACTCCATGTACACTAAGTTATATAGACTGTAACGTATTGGTCACACGGTGTAAATTTATTTTAACTGTATGTACATCCACTCTGCTGATTATATTTAGGTTCTAGGTTCTTTAGCTCACTGGATCTTATATCATTCGTTATTAACAAGCGCCTAAGCCAATTGCGCATTTTCTACTATTTCTACATTTTGAGGGCCAAACAAAGTATTTTCTACTCATTGTAATATATTTCTTACATTATGTAATTAACTTACAACACCAGGTACACCCTTTTATTATTCACATATATGTCTTTTCATCTCCTTCACCTCAATGAACTTTACGTCTTCATTTTATACACACTGCATGGTTAGGAGAGGAGCAAACTAAGATTGCATGATGAGCATAGACCAACTACATATTACTCATTTAACAGACTGTATTCAGTAACATTACCTTGGTCTTCACCATACGCTTTATGTTTCACCGAACTCGGAGAGCGCAGTTGCTTATGCTATTAAGTTGCACGACAAAATCTGGCTTCGTGAGATGATTAATTTCCTCTGTTTGCTTCTACCTTGCCGCCTGCCTTGCACGCATTCAAAATGGATACAACACTCTCATACCCAGCTTCAAAATGCATACAACACTCTCACTGCACTGTTTGCTTTCTTCCTTATGCACTCAACACCATACCCCAACTCTCTCCACCCAATTTTCTGTCAATTGCTACCTGCAGCAGGACGTCTCCTCTCTTCCCTCAGTTTTGTTTTGTGTGGCTCTCCACTTTTTTGTTTGCTTTCTTCCTTATTCACTCAACACCATACCCCAGCTCTCTCCACCCACTTTTCTGTCAATTGCTACTTTCAGCAGGATACCTCCTCTTTTCTCTCAGTTTTGTTTTATGCGGCTGATTCAAATTTTGAACTTGATTTTCAAAATTCAAACTCTTCCGTTTGGTCCGTCATGTTCCCGTTTTGGCTAAACATTTTTTTTTTGAAACGCCGTCGTTTTTGGGGCCTGTTGAAGGCTTCCTGACGTGGAATATTTCTCGCCTCACATTTGGGTCTTGTGAGGAGACCGTTCAGGAGCGGTCGTTCTGACGACCGCTCCTGCCCCGTATCCGGTGCTGCTGGACTCTAGATGTGGGCTACCTGGTTTGATACTATGGAAATGATGCTTGGTTTGACCATGAAGAAGAGTTCAACAAGAGTACTAGTGGTGCTGTTTGGTTTGACCATGGAAAATGATGATCTTGCCCGAAGATTAATGGCAGCATTGGAGACAGAAGACGTATTATTGAAGTTGAAATTTCATGTAACATTGGTCTGGGGAATCTTGCCAAGGTTACTGTTGTTTTGCTTCATTTTCGCTTATTTTTTATTTTGTAATTGAATATTGGAGAAAAATATAGTCAAACTTAAAACAATAATTTGAGATTTTAGTTGATTTCTAACTGTGTAGAACATGAATTACTTGTTCTTGTTGGAGTTTTTTTTTTTGGCAAGCAATTCATAAATTACTTGTTGGAGGATATTTTTTGTGCAAATCTGCTTTTTCTATGGTGCAATTTTTTAGTATATAATGAGGTTCTAGTTTTGAGTTGGAAATTCCATTTAGTGCCTTTCTTAGATATCTAGGATTTTTGAAAAAATTATAGGAAGGGTTTATTTATAATAAAGAGGTGGATGGAATTAGATATTTGTCCCAAAACCAATTTTTTTGTTGCACAATCCATGTGTTTTTTCAAGGTATTTTTGGAAAATTTTAATATAAAAAAGTGATTAGCCAATTTTGTATAATGGTTAATTCAGATATAGGACATTTAGTCCCTTACATTTTTGGTCAACATTACACTGAAATGCCATATTTACCCTTTAAAAATTAGTCACGTGACCTGCTCATGACTAGTTCCGACAAAACCTCGAACAAAAAAGTGATCAAGGACCAAAGTTATCATTTTTAATTTGTTAGAGATTAAAAGTGATTATTTTCATTTTGAGGGACTAAATTTTTACATCAATGATATGTGAGGGACGATTTGTGCAATTTTCCCTAAAAAAAAATGAAATATCGAAAGTGCAACAGAAAATCTAAAGTAAGACTTTGAAGGTCAAGTTCAAATGTAAACAGCAAACTGATTCACAAAAGAACAGTCCTAGTTTTTGTCTTCATTTACAAGTCCCCGTTCCCCTGTCAAATATCAACAAATTTAGCTCAGGGAAGAGGATTTAACTCAATCTTGAACTTTTCACTATTTGGACTATAAATGTTCGGAGATACATACAAACGTCAAAAAGGTTTTCCCAAGAAATCAAAAAGATTCAATACTTCACTACCTACTACTTCAATGACGGACCACTTGGTTTCTTCTAACCGGACAGGCAATACGTAGAGCGTATCTTCTGCACAATTGGCAAAGCAGGACCATGCTGCAGAAAGTGGAGTTCTAGCCATCTAGTGCCTTGGAAGCAAAATTATAAATCTTCACTAGAATGACAATTTTAAACTTGCCCCCTACTTTTCAAATCAATTTGAACGAGGTTTCTTGGGTGTGGACGATGGGCTTGAGATCTCTTTAAATGCAGATGGGCAGAAATTGCTGACTGTGCATGTCCCACAATGAGGTCTCAAAGGAGTACATATTGTCTGTCCGAAGCCAACCTGCATTTAGTATTTCCAGTAGATAGATGAAACAACATGGTCAAAAAAATAGAAAATAAAAAAAAAACTGCACTAAAATTCAAAAAGTAAAGACTTCGAATCCCCAAAACAATAGCGTTTAAAAAAAATAGTGTTTGAAAAAAGGTTCAAAAGCATTGGATTTTTCAATGTTGCAGCAATAGTGCAAACGATAAACAAGGAGATTCATGACAAGGAACTGAAGTGTAATCTTAATGGTGAAATCAAGTAGACAGCAACAATTGCCATACATAGTGGTTATAACTGCTTTAGTTCAGAGAAACCCTAGGACTATTAGGTTGTTTAATGAATTCCCTTGTTTCAATTTTATTATAAGCTTTATCTTACAATTTGGACACTCTTCTACAATATGAGACTTTACATCGTTGAAACAGAGAGTTACACTTTTCCTACAGATTAGGCATCTATATTATGCTAAGGTAATGCCAAAAAACCACACAGTTGAGCATGGTAAACAATATCTCAGTTATCCAACAATACAAACTTCAAGGCCAGCACATTAGGTAGGCCACTATCCATTATGGAATCAAAAGTGCCTTTTCAATGCTTAAACAGAAACAGGACATCACCACAAGGAAAATACCAATGAAGGCGAAGCATAATTAAGATAGATAACTATCAATTACATGCATATATGAAACATGATGTTTGAGACAAGGAAATTTCGCTCAAAGCAGGAAAGAAACTGCGTCATTATTCTCTAGTAATTCTGCATTTTAGAATTAAGGGATGACCTCAATCCATTTTTGCCTAATATGTATTCCATTTATATGAAAGGAGGGGGTTCAACATACCAGAAGTGGATTAATTGCAACCCATTCTTCTTTTGGAAGCCACAGTTGCAAGGACTCCCTTGTCTCCTCAGGCGAAGAAGTTTTCTGACAAGTAAAACTTATCAGTTAGTAGAAAGACTCACTTGATATGTAATTCTGTTCTTTCTTTCAGAATCTCTTATAAATAGTTCTTTACCCATTCCATAATATGAGGAGGGGATGGAAACAGGTCATTTAGTAAAGATAATCTGTTTTCTTATGCTTATTTCTAGCTCATTTTCCATTATCCAGAAGTAAAGTTATTAGTTGGCACAAGGATTTACCTGAAACTTAGTCCTGTTCCTTTTTCTGAATCTCTGATAAACAGTATTCTACCCATTTCTAGTGTCAGGAGGGAATGAAACTAGGTGAGCCATGTAAAGCGTTTCTGGGTTCTTCTGCTTAACTCTAGTTCACTTTCAGTTACATTTTTTTGTTGAACGAAATATTGCAGGGCAGAAAAGATAGGTACAGCTGCTATGAAATATTTCTATTGCCCGTGAACCAACCAATCATACAGTCTATATTGCAACTGGAACAATGTTAAAGCTACAATTTGAACAGAATGTATTCATGCTATAAGCAAGTCACTTGACTGAAATACCGAATATCTAGGTTAATTTGGATGGAAAAATATTAAGTTATCAGAAAAGATAAAAAGGTATGTGTTTGAAAGGTGAAAAAAAAAGGGATTGTCAAATCCATCCTAATGCTGGAATCCTATCTTCGCAACCAGTTAATGAAGTTCATTAGGTGCTTTCAAAATGGCAGAAATATATAGATTTTGTAACTATTGATTTGACTATAAGACCTATGTATGTAATTTTGAACCAAAAAGAACAACAGCATTAAGGATACTAAATCTGAAGCCTATTTCATACACAGAAGTAATCCAATTCATGATTATAAATGCCGTCATACAACCAGCAAAATGCTAAAGTCTCTCTTACTGTGAACTTGCAGAATTGTATGATATCCATTGTGGGTGAAAAGCATAATTTATTAATTCAGACATAGATCTCAGTTTCTCAGCGTGTTAGTAAAATGAAGTAGATGACATAAACCAAATCCTAGAATTCCATCTATAGAGTAGAATATATCTTTTATAATGCACATGCCAAAAAGCATACTAATTTACCTGCTTTGTGCCAGGGCGTGATACCCAAGCAAGACGATTACAGATTCGATGCACATGAGTATCCACACAGATACCTAGAACAATCTCCCAACCAACATTCATAACCTAAAACCAAAAGCAGATATAGATAGCTTCAGAAGTAATTAAGCTGATGAGTTAACTAAACAGATTCGATGCACATGAGTATCCACACAGACACCTAGAACAATCCCCCCACCAACATTCATAACCGAAAACCAAAAGCAGATATAGATAGCTTCAGAAGTAATTAAGCTGATGTGTTAACTAAGTTATACTCTTACCAGATGAGCCATCTTAGGACCAATCCCTGGGAGTTGAAGCAAGTCCTCCAATGTGCTTGGAATGTCCCCATCATACTTCAGTTGACAAATTTTCGCTATCTTCTTTAAGTTGGAAGCCTTTCTTGTGTAAAAACCAACCTGATAAGGAAAGAAGTTGAAATAAGTGCACATGTTAATAGATTAACAAACAAAATGTTGGGTTAAAGGAGAATAGTTTAAATTATTACATGCTTTATTTGAATCAAGTACCACTGTATCAGATCCACTTTCTCTGGCATTTGCTTTAGTCAGTGACATATGAAATAACTACTAACATTTCAAGTCATCAATATAAAACAGGGAACTTAAGGCCTTGCAATATACAGACATACTGGGTAAATCAAGTTCTTAATTGTAGCTTCTTCAGTGTTGTCTAAGGCATCTGGATTAAGCAGCCCATTCTGTAAGAGCCGCTGAATGGCACCTGCACAACCATCAGACAGTACAAATGAAAAACGTGAAACTGGAAGGGTACGAAAAAAATTACTTTCTAACACAATACTATAAACAATCAATGAATGCAGCCAAATATAACAGCAAGGAATTCTAACAGGCTAAGCCACACAAATAAATGCTTTATTTTCATTTTTTGTATGCAATGCTAAAAAGAATTCTTCAATGCCCCATAATTGTAACTTCACTTTTGAGATCATCACTTACAAGTTAGTCTATTTATTGGGAAATGCACATTCATTTGGTTCAATAGTCCATCCATGAATAAATACTTTTTTCCAATTTTTAAAGAGGATATACAAATGCAAACATTTAAACTTGCCATGGGTAACGTGATCTTTGGTTTGACTTGATAAGAGTGAAGATACCAAAACTGCAAATCTTCGTTCCTGGTGAAAAGAAAACAAAAAGAGAACAAAACAATATCAATAAGAACGTGATAAGTCATCTCCAGGCACCATGCAAAGATATGTCATCTGCATATATCAGTTTATGTTCAAAATTCTCTGCTTATATAAGGGAAAGCATTAGCGAACTTGTCAGCACAATGACAGATGAAAATAACTATAATCCCTTACCATAAAGTACTTGAGACCAAAATTAGTGGTTCTTGTGAAATACAGGAAAAGCTAAGGTAAATCAAAGTAAAAACAGAGAAAGACCTCTGTCTGTTGAGGGCTGATAGCTCCAATGCAACTATGTCCTCCCAGAATTTGCATCAAAGTAATTACTACAAATGCTATTCGTATTTTGATCTTTTCGAAGCCATGAGCACAACATGCTGAACAAAAAATTTAAACAAATAAAGAACTACTTTCTTCATAAATATAAGCAACTACTATGTCGAAACAATTATAAGAGATGTTAAAACATTTTAAAGATAACAACAAAAAAGACAGTTCAACCTAGATTTTGCTAACTGTGACGGTAGTCTTTTGGCTTTTCTTTGTCCTCACCCAGGTCCATCTTGGAGATCATAGTTGTGTACTTCCAGATTGTTAAAAATTACCAGCAAATTCTTGCATCCTTTTCAAAAATAATAAGTACCCATGAGAAAATTTCACATAGTTTACATTCCTCCTTTTTAAACTAATATACATATTAAACCAGACTGACAAAGCAAAAGACAGACATGTTCAGGATATATAATGTTTCGTTGCTCATCTTCTTTTGACTGAAAATGTAAACCATTTTCTTCAATCAGAACTTGCAAGCTGTTGTATAATTACATCATCAAGTATGCAGAAACACAAGTATCATCTCCACTAAGTGGGATATACTATAGCCTAATGGCTACTATTAATATTATTATAATTCACATTATTACTTGTTCTTTTATATGACAACAAGATGAAGAAGATCCACATTTTGACCAATGACAAGTCGTGAGGGGATTGGTAACTAACAAAATGGAATTTAGCTTTATGAAAGCATTAGGTTTATGTTTATCAGTTGCTTGAAACTTTAAATTGCTAGGCTCATTGAGGAGTTCATAAGATCCTTACATAGCCAAAGAAGACATTATTTCTTGTACTATATATTATTCCCCACCATCCCAAGATTCAGACTCCAAAACCCCTTTGCTTCAGGTTTTGTCCATAGACTGATTACCCAGTACACTAGATGAAGCTGCAACTGTGCCTTTTGCAAGCACAGAACTTAGCTCTACTATAACGCAAATTTAATAAAGACAAACTATAAAAATGTGTAGACAATTCACCCTCCGTATAATGTGATCCTCATTTCATTCTCAAATTACACTTGATTACATTAAATGAATTTCATTCCTGATCCTCACCAGATAATGGGAAAATTGTAATACAATTTCCCTTTCTCACATTCCTATTCAACCTTTCATACCGAAAGGAAGAAACAAAAATTTAGCCCTTACCACCAATAGCCAAAAACTGGAATCAAATGTATTTTCACTTCTTCATACCAGGAAGTGCAACATGTAACATCTAAGTATAAAACATTTTAAGATGATAATGTCAAAAGGAAAATAGAAGGGAAAGACTGCACTAGAAATTTTGCTATAATATGCCTCACAATTCCTGAGGAATAGAACCACAATGCAGGTCAAATAATCACTGCTTCCAATCGCTTTTTATGGAATTTGTATTGAATTAACTTCCATGGATTTCATACAAATGGAAAAATTAGTTAGATATCTTCCTGAGTGCTACAGAACATAAATTTGGCACTTGATCGTACTTGGACTCCAGATGGTGATAAAGCTGGTAGAACTAAGCCCAGGCCTTTCATCTAACTACTTGAGCTGGCACTTGTGAACACATTAGCTATGAAATTGGTGCCACAACAATGGCTTTTTGTATGGGCTCTGCAAGTGTGAGAAAATATATTCACTGATACATGCATAAACACATGTACTCCTTTAGGCTAGAGTAGTAAATAAATTCTTTTTCCCTCCGAGAAAGTTCAAGCAAGGTCAAAAGCTGGTTCTGGGGCAAGTGAATTTTGTCTAGTAGTCTCCCTTTCAGTTGGCAACTACAATCTCAGGCTAGGAAAATTCCAGTAATCTCTGGGTCCATATCTGAAGATGAACTAAAGGGACAAGGCAGCTTTTCAATGTCCTAGCTTCCATCAGAGAAAGAACACATAGTTTCCCAAATATAAAGTTCAATTTCTACATAAATGAATTACGAGAGAGAGAAAGGGAGAGAGAGGGAGGGACAGGGATTAGACTTTTCAAACTCTTTGTTCCCTAATCCCCCCTCCTCCCTTTCCCCAAAAAAAAAAAAAAAGAACCAATGACAGATTAATGCTCCCATGGAATCAATCATGTCACAGAAAAAAAAAAACAACATAGAAAAACATTCACAAATTACAGGATATATGAAATTGAAAATTGAACCATGTGCATTTATTAGAGAGAGAATCATAGACTGAACATTCACAAGCATCAATACTCACATTCAGAATAATTATTGAACACAGTATAGATGCCCAACAAAAATACATTAGATAAACAGGGAATTCCATCAGGACTACTAATAACATGAGCAAGATATGAAAGGAGAGACTTAAACCTAAATATTAACAGTCTCCAATATCCCATTTCCAACACTCTATTCCTTAATGTAAAGGATTTATTTTCCCTATTTTTTAATAGAAAATTACCTTAGGAGGAAGAGAATTTCCAGCTTTCTCACAACCCATGGAATCAACTGGTGCATCTTCTGAAGATCTCATTCTGCGAATTCTTTCAAGAACTTTTTCCCAATTTTCAGGAGCTTGAGCTGAAATAAATAAACTGCAAAATCTCAGGCTCACTTTAAATGTTAAATCAACAAAATTAGATACAAAATATAGACAATCTGCAATCCATCTCTACTCTCCATCATATAACACAAGAAAAGAAGACTCCACTGACAAAGTATCCCTAAAGGATTAGGAAAGCTATAAAAAACTTTCTAGGAGACGAAAAATAATCTATTCATTGATGAAAAGGGATAATACAATTGATAGATTTACTTTCTGACTATACACTAAGGCATCATCAATTTCAGGAAAGCAAACTCCACTGAAGTGTATCGTAATTCCAGTAAATAAATTAATGTCTAAAATTAATAGTAAGCAAACTAATGTCTAAAATTAGGCTGACCTCCCCACAAGTTTGTATCCTACTGACCCTAAGCTTTTATATCATGTACACAAGTCTACATTGTCAACGACAATTTTACATGAAATCCTATTATTACAATAAGCAGTATAATATAAGGTGAAAATCCATGTTCGTAATTTTGTTTCCAGTAGAAAACCTGCCAAGAGATGTCCAAATAATTTTCGGAACTACAGAGGACACATAACTAATTATGATGAATCTCATGGGAATAAATGTAATATTACCTACCATTTTATAGCTAGCCAAATCTTTTTTATGCTAAGCTGAGAAAATGCAAATAGATCGTTTTATGTTAAACAGCATCAAAGGTCTCCACAATCATCAATTAGAGAACCAATTATGTTCATGGTGAAAAAAAGAAAGAAAACAATATGCACCATGATCATGACTCAATTGATCAACTTAACCTCAAATATTGAATAAATATAGCTACTCAATAAACCTGATATTAATCTTAGACATAAATAGGGAAAATATTGAAAAGATAAACCAACTCTAGGAACATGGCATTAATTTTGAAATAACCAGGAAACTTGACTCTCTCCATCCCTCCCGCTCCCCCACTGACCACCACCCCCTCCCCCCGGCTCTTAACCAACAATAACAAAAGCTCAATGCTATCTGTGCATGTGTATTTCCATGTACGTGTGTGTATTTCCAATCTTCTGGTTCATCGCTAGAACTAAAAGCTGCTCTACATACATTACAAGCCTGTAATGCACACAACTGGGAAGGAATACATGACATGTTATAAATGATTCTGGTGTGTGAAAGCTATAAAAAAAACACATGGAAATTTAGCAATTTATGAAATATAAGAGATGTTCAATGTACAAAACTAGAGGTGTCAAAATGGGTGATTTGGGCGGGTTTGGGTTGGGTAACATGGATAATGGGTATAAGTGAGTCAACCCATTTATACCCATTTAATTAGATGAGTATAAATGGGTAAGTTAAAAAATGAATTGGGTAACCCAATTACCCATTTATAACCCATTTATTTTAACTTGTTGTAAATTCATTTAAATTTACTTTTACAAACTAAATTATCAATTTATACCATCCTTTGCACCCATCATTAGTTTAAAATATTTATTTATAATGCTCAATAAACCTAATTATCAATTTTTTTTCCATATATAATCTATGTCACAAAATTACATACTATTTAAAAATTAAACAATAAGAATACAAAAATTTGAACTAAGTACTATAAAAGTTAACATAAAAACTTAATCCAAAAATTTTAAACTTCTAGCATTTTTTCGTGTGTAAATTTAAAATTTCATTTTGGAAAATAAGAAAAGAGGCTAAAACTTATCACAAATTGGTAATGGTGAAAAATGAGCAAGTTAACAAACTAAGAGAAAATAAAATGATAAGATAAAACCAACAAATAATAATAATAATGAAACAAAAGTAGTTAACATCATGACAAAATGAAAATTTTGAAAAAAAAAAATGGGTGGGGGAAGAGAGGAGGTTTGGGTGAAAACAATTTTAAATGGGTTAATTGGGTTTGATGGGTTACCCAATAATACCCAATTAAGAAAAGGGTATTATTGGGTAACCCATTTATACCCATATGCAAAAATTTAAGATACCCATACCCATCTATTCATGGGCAGGTATGGGTAAATTTAGTTAAATGGGTTTGTTTGACAGCTATATACAAAACCATAAAGATGTCATTGTACTGTTTGTTTTGCATATGTGATAACTAAAGTCCTCAACTTATTGTAATTTGAATTTATGAAACTGCATATGCTGAAGACTTCACCAATAATAGCTATTTCCTCTTAACGTATAGAAACATCAGTTCTGTCGATAAATGCAATGTTAAAGAGCTAAAGAAAGAACTAACTTGAGTAGGAATAGCCACATTTCTTTCCATATGCAAAATCTTCAATGTCAGGTAGACTGCAAAGCTGCAACAATCCTACTAAGTTACAATTGGACTTTAACAAGATATTGCATCAATGAAGTGTAGCTAACCACTTTAGGATCCTTTAAATGCAAAAATATTCAAAACGTACAAGACAACTCAACAAGCATGATTCCACATATTTCCGTAGAAGGCAACTTTTAAATCATTTTTTAGGAAACAAGCACAAAATTCTTTTTCCTTATAGAGATGGCTGCATGTTACATAATTCACAAAATCTAAAACCATTATTTTTTCAAAACACAACCAAAACTCGCCCACAACTTTGGCTCCTTTAGAACAAAATTGCTATTTACAACACTAATAAACAAATTTACATTGTAGAAAGGTTGAGGCCTCAGGACTTAGAGGTCCTTCAAATCCCCCTGCTCCTCCACTCAGCTTCTTAATTCCCACAACTCCCCTGCTAGAAGAAAATTCTTAAAAAAATTACATTGCACAAATTACTGCAAACTAGCTGCCAAGGAAGAAACAAAAGTGTGAGGAAACAGCTATGGAGCTCTAGAGTGAAACATAAACTGAAGCATTTCATGTGGAAGTGCTTGAAGAACTGTCTACCTGTTAACAAAGTGCTTAACAGGAGGACTGGGAAAAGGGAAAAGTGCTGCTACAGATGTGGGGAAGGCGTAGAAACGTTGGAGCACATGCTCTTTGAATGTGAATATGCAAAAAGAATCTGGAAGCTAGCTCCAATAAACTGGGAAGGACTAAATGATCTCCAATTCAACTTTTGGAGATGGTGGGTGGGATTACTGCAGGCTAAGGAAAGACCTGATGGAAAAGATCATCTTGACCTGACAATTAACACCCTTTGGCAGATATGGAAAGATAGAAATAGAGTAACACATGGACAACAAGCAAGGGAAGAACTGATTTGTGTACAAAAGGCTCAACAGGAATGGTAGGAGTTCAAGGAAGCTGAGGAAGAAGGAAGACGAGAATGCATTGCTGAAACAACTCAACATCATCCGAGCAGGAACTGGAATCCTCCTGAGCAAGGGATCATCAAAATCAATGCTGATGCTGCTATTTGTTTTCAAATGAACAGAACAGGAAAAGGAATAGTGGCTAGAGACTGCAGAGGAGACCTATTGAAGGCCTGGGCACTACAGGAACAAAAAAACGGAGAACCCCTCATTGTAGAAGCTTTAGCAATACGTAGTGCATTGCTGATGGGAAAGGAAGCAGGCTGGAGTAAAATTGAAGTCCAATCTAACTGCAAAGGCCTAATAGAGAGAATCCGATCAGGCAAAGACAGCAATATTGAGATGACACTGGAAGATATACAGGAATTGAGAGAGCTGTTTGACCAATGCAATTTCTCTTTTGTTCATAGATCAGGAAATGAAGTTTGTCATAGGCTAGCAAAATTTGCATCTAAGGTAGTTAATGATGTAAAGTGGGACACTAGTTTCCCAATGTGGATCAAAGATCTTGCACAGAAAGACTATAGGACAGTTGTTCCTTTTTGTAACTAACACTCATATTATCAAGTTAATGATATAATACAATTAAATGCCGTTTTGACAAAATAAAATTACTGCAAATAAGTCAGCAATTTTGAGATTCTTACTGTAAAGGGCACCTACACTGATTTGTGTAACACATGTACAGCTCAATATACACAAAGAAATTTATAATTCACACTGAAATCAGTGCAGTGGCAATTAATATAACCATATTTTGAATGCTGTGTATCACTTAGGCGATGGAGCTCTGCAATTTTCACAAATCCTCTCACATGCAATCAACTTGGGGATTCAGGGATTCTTATTCCATTTCAAAAGAGTAATGAACAACCATCAACTTAATTTTCACTACAAAACAAGAGAATTGCTTTTCATTATTACATTTCTTATTGATGTCCAGACAAGCCGCTATCACAGCCAAAAAAAAAAACATTCAAAGAATCCTATACGACTATAACTATGAAATGCTGTAAGATACACAACAATGAGCTGTGAATATTAAAGAATAGAATAAAAATTTCTTATATATATGAAAATGTTAAAAAAATACAAAGACAGTAATTGAAAAAAAAAATCAAAAATAAAAATAAAAGTCAGTCTTACCTGCTGCTGCCGAGGTTCTTCAGCCTTAACCTCCTCCTTTGGACTAATTTCTAGACTCTTTTTTGCTCTCTTTTTCCTAACAAAGACTCGAATATTTGCAGCAGAACCTCCATTGCAGCTTTCATCACCTGACAGTCATGAATATAAAAGATGCATCGGACAGCACAAACAAATTTTTTTAAAAAAATAGCCAAAAAAGAAATACAAAGAGAAAACAAGAACTAAACGAAAATGGGTCATAGTGACCTGGGTTTTTCTTATGGTTTGAAGTTGGAATCTGGATTTTGGATGAAAATCGGGTTTGGGACATCTTTCGGATTGTTCTGTTGCTGAAGGAGACGATTCGCGCCGTAACGGAAAGCAATATTGCGTTTCGGAGAAGAGGGACTGACATTTAGTAGGATAAAATCTAACAATTATTTACTTGTTTATGTTTCATTAATTTGTCTGGGGTTTAACTGGCATCCTCTACAGCTGGTTTGGGAGTTTAGGATAGAAAAGAAAAAAAGAGAGAGTTTAAGTTACAAGAGAAAAGAAAAGAGGAAGGAAGAGATTTTAATTTTGATGATATTGTTCCGAAGTTTAGAAAAGAAATGAAATAATATTGGATACATATGAATAATATTTTGTTTAATAGATATTTAGTAGAGCTGGCAATTTGTCCCAAGTCCCAATGGGCTACCCATGCCCAAAGGAACTTTGGGCGGGATGGGTATTATAATTTGGTATTGGGTTTAAGTTGGGACACATCCCAACTATACCCATTAATGAATGGGAAAGGATGGGAAATACTTGGGTACCCATTGGGCTCAAATGGCAAGGGCTCCGTTTGGATTAGCTGTTTTTGGTAGGTGTTTTTGAAATATTTTATTGTAGCAGTGTATATGAAAAATTTTTACTATAAAATTTTTTTGAAATATTTGATATATTAATATGGATGGGATGTTTCTTGAGTTATTGTATATTACTGTAACATTGAATTTGAAAAACTTATTTTTTGAAAAAAAAGTCAATCCAAACGGAATCTTAGATTCAAAAATTATCTTTAACAATTTTTATAGTCATACCAGCGAATATAATCTAGTAGTCTTCCTAGTCATTATCCACAAGAATTTCCAGCATTTCAGTTAGTTTAGACCTGTCATCCTTGGACAATGATAAGGATAAATATTCAACATCCTAAGGACCTTGGCCATCTTGATATATGTTGGAATATGACTGTATATCTATTTTTTCCTTTATTTGTTAATCCAATTTTTGGTGGGAATCTTGAGTATAAAGCACTTGCATGTTTATTTAATAAAACTAAAAGAAATTTAATAAATCAAAAATATTAAAATTATATAAAAATAAAAAATGAATTAAAGGAAAAAAATATGTAGAAAATGGATTTGGGTATTGGGCGGGATCAATCTAAACCCATCCCAAAATGATCCCGCCCAAGTTAGTCCCAAAACACATATGGGTAAGGTTGGGCCCAAACCCATATGACTCGGTTCCATCTCAAACCCAAGCAAATCCCGCCCATCCCGCCTATTTTGCCACCTCTAATATTTAGGAATAAAAGTGGCATTTTAATAAATTTTATAAAGCTTGTTACAACTTTCTTTCATTTTTCGTCCAAGTTATCTTCTCTCACTTTATTTTTCTTTTCCCACCAAATCTAAGCTCCCAAACATTAGTAGCAATTCAGCCAATAGTTGTATTTAGAGGTTATTTTAATGGACTAGAACAAATATTTAGAAGATGTTTTAGGTATTTCACACCATTTTAAGGATCAGATTAAACTTTCGTTTCTTTTCTCGCCAAATCTAAGCTTGCAAGCGTTCATAGCAACTTTGCCAATACTTGTATTTAAAGGATATTTTAATGGACTAGAACAGATCCATTACCTCAGGAGATTTCTCCATCTCCTCTGCATGGGGGATGATGCAGCAAAGACACAATGTGTCCATGATTGACTCCTTGACTTGGAGCTCTCTCGTGCCGGTAAAGGTGCCGTTCTTTATTTGGAGGGCGAAAAGAGGTTTCATGTCCACTGATTGTGAATTACAACGGAAAGGAGTATTGTTGCCTTCAAAATGCGTAGTGTGAGGACTCTGAAATTCTTACTATTTTAAAAGGTAAATAATAATAATGAAATATTTATATTATGTGATTTTATCAAATTTTTTGTATTCTCATCTATTAAAATGTCATTTTACAACTTAGTTGAAATCTTTTTATTATTAATGACCCAGTTATCGTTTGGCCAGCATTAAGTGTGAAACTTTGGAGTGGTGACGTGGAAATTAGTCTTAAGATGAAGTCTACAGCATGTAAAGATTTAAAAAAAAAAAAGATAGGATAATGTTGGTTGAGGGAAATCAAGTTAAAGATAAAATGTCGCAAGAGAATGTGACAAATAAGCGATTAGGTGAGGTGGTAGGATAAAATGTCGCACGAGAACTCGACAATAAGCGAGTAGGTGAGCTGGTTCACCTACTACACTTTAAAGGAAGAAACTAGACTTGAGAATTCATTTTCTCTCTTCCTCCTTGAGCCATTCGAAAATAGAGAGAGAGAGAGACTTGAGAGCTCTCCATTCCCTCCTCCATTTTGCTCTTGAAAATCACTTGAAAAACCATAAAACTTTTTTTTTCTTCTTCTTCTTCTCTTCTTTTTGTTGAGCCGAGAGAGAGAGAGAGAGAGAGAGCAACCAAGAGAGAAGGTGTGACGCCCCACATCTCCCTAAGGCGGACCAAAGGGTATCCGCGGACGCCTGCCCAACTCTCGCCAGGACTCAACCAATTCCATTCAATTTAAATCCGAACTAAACATTTCGAAGGGAGCAACATGAACACAAACAATGCGGAAGCATTCGAACTTACCAAGTCAATTAACATGTAAACAGTACATCGGGTAAACATAATACGACTTAAATTCAAAATACACGTCAGGGCCCAAACTTTTCAAATTTACAATTTCCAAAAGTACAACCCAAACCAGGGCCTAGTCAAAATATAGCAGGAGTCTTAACAAAAGTACAACGAATGGTTTCTCCATACTTCTCCAAGTTTCGGTCCTGTTAAGGAAAACAAAACTATAGGGTGAGCTAAACGCTCGTGAGGCCAAGAACACACATGCAAGCACTTTGTTCAAATAGCAATCCCAAATTTAATAAATAAAACCATGTCCCTTCAATAATCAATCATTCGAACAGGAAAAGTAATCAGAAACAATTCAAGGATATAGTAGCTCTCAGGAGTTAAGTTCCACTCGCTCTGCCGATGTCATTCGTATACCTTCCCGCGTTGACCCTCCTATCAACCGGGTCGGTATTTCCATTTCCGTAGATCACCACTTACTTCCCTCCGTCCACCGTACACCTCAAGGGCCCACAAGTCATGTATAAGGCGATACTCCACGAGTATGCCAAGCAAGACCTCTCATTAGGTCGAGCTCATATCTATCTCATGGCTCGCCTAAGTCCCCGACCAAGCCCATTGCTGGCTCGAGTCTAAGGTCGGCCTATGAGTTTGGGCGTCCCCCATTCATTTGAAAGTCGAGGAGGTTCACTCCAACGACATATGTAATCATAACATAACATTGCATTTCATTCATTCATTCAATACATTTCAGTCATTCATTTGAAATTAGAACGAGTGCGGTAAAGTACGCACCCGCCCTTATTTTTAAAACTTCCAACAATTACCACAAATAAGCAAGTATCACAGATTCACACACTTGACACTCACCGAGCAATTCAATAAGAATTATTTTCTGGGAGTTCAAGTGTCCACAGTAAGATCCTCTTGAATGCCTTCTTGCGCGCTTGGCAATTAATAGCGGATAATCACACAAATAACCCACTTGTCAAGGAAGATTGTACACTAGTACAATCTAAGGAATATTTCACGAAATGAACCTCAATTACTCGTAAATCGAGGTTCAACTTGCCTTTTATTATGTACAATATTATTTGAGTTTTTATCATGAAAAGCGAGGGCAAAACGTTTGAATAATACTAAGAGAATTAAGAGTTTTGGAAAAACTCCTTTGCCTTGAAAATTGAGAAATTTCAGTTTTATCCTAAATCTTTAAAAATTCGTATCTCTCTCGATATAAGTCCAAAACTGGAAAACTTTATACCGTTGGAAACCTTTTGGAAAGTGTTAAAAGTTCTTAGAAGACACCTTTCCATGAATCTAAGTGGAAAGTACTCAAAAATGAGCTTGAAGATACAGACTCGGCGTACAAGGCAGAATTAAGTTGGATTTCGGCCAACTTTGAAAATTCGGCACGATTCACACATTGCAAACCGGCCTCTGAAATTTGTAACTCAATTAGAGTTGCAAGTGAGGTTTATAGCAAAACAAGCGGATCAAGAATCGGAGTTTCGAGTACCGAGATACGGTAGCTCAAAGTTGAAGAAGATTCAAGACTGAAGAAGAATTTCCAGTTTTGAACCTCCAACACTAGAAATTTAATTCGGTATCGAAACGAACTTGAATTGATGCCAAAATTGGCAGTATTTTACTCCTATATGCAAGGTATTTCTCTATCAAATTTCAGGGAAAAGTACCCTCGGGAAGGTAGTTAACTAATCATCCAAAGTTCCGGAAAATTTCTAAGGCAATCTGCCTTTTGACTTTCATTTCCCAAATTCAAATCGTTTAACCAAGAAAGCTATCCAACCATGGTTCATTGGTGAAATAAAGGTCTAAGATACATCCATGATACTTTTGGTAATGGTTTAGCATCAAAATTTCAATTAATAAGATCACTCCCAAGTTTTTGTCCCACATCAGTCCAAATACTACGTTTTTCCAAAACAGGGCAGTCCTCTTGTTTTGGTCACAACTCAATCAATTTAACTCGGAATGAGGGCATTGTTTATGGCGTTAGAAAATACATTCATAGGACTAAAAGTTTACAGAAGAAAACGTTCTGAAATTTGGCAAGCAACCAGCTCAAAATTGAGCCTCAAGTTGCTGCCTCTACAAACCATTCCAGCAAATCCGAGAGACAGGACAGCTATCTTAAAACATTTGGTTCGGCTCACACACAAAGAACCAGAACTTTCATTTTATCTCAAATTAAAGCCAGGAATGTCTAGTTTCAAACGCCACCAATGGCACTTGATTTCGACACCCGAGGACAGAGTTATGGCCAAAATGCTACAGCTGGACAGGGTTACCCGAAAATAACTTTCCAGCTTGCCTAGTCCACGAATAAATTCATTTGCCCATCCAAACGTTAATGTTTTCCAACGAAAATTTTTACACATATAATATAGCATATAACCATCAGGTTCATGCCAATAAATCACCAAAAATTGGCCTTATCATGGCCGAACAAAACAGGGGCAGTTTCAGAAATTTCTTGTCAAGACCTCTACTTTGAGTTTCCAAAAATAATACTCCATAAATCCATCATTATAACCATTAAACTACCATTAAATCCAACATTAATCCTCTAATCAGCAACAACAACCCAAGTGTGGGAATACAAAGAGCCCACTTTCACA